ACCGTTATATGGGAGGTAGGCGTGGTTATTGTCCGATTTGGCCCATTTTTAATACCATCCGTCCTACGCCAAGCAGAAGTGCACATACCAAGTTTCGTTAAGATATCTCAATTTTTCTTTCAATTTCACAGACGGACGGACGGACGACAGTCACCGCTTAATTGATTTCTCTTTTCATTCTGATCAATTATGTATACATTTGTCTATATCTATCTCGATTAGTTTTACCTGTTACAAACAACTGTTATGCGAACAAAGTTATAATACACGTGTGCACTAGTGCGCTCGGGTATAAAAAAGAATAAAAAGCAATCATAGAACGAAAAAATAATATGTCTCTGGAAATTGCATGAAATTAAAAAAAAAATATGTTTCTTTTACAAACAATAAAGAATAAAAAATTAGGGGAAATTCAATAAAAAATTTATTCAAAAGAGAAAAAAAAATATTCCAAAAATTAAATAAAATCATACAAATAGTTTTTTTTTTAAACAATAAAATCTAAAAATTAAAAGAAAATCAAATTGTAAAACAAAACAAACATAAAATAAGTTTCTACAATTTTAACGAATTTAATAAAACAATTTTCTTTTTAAAACAATAAATTTAAAAATCTTTAGAAAATTCAATTTAAAAATAAAAAGATAAATAAGTTCCTCAATTTTATGTGAAAAAAATAAAATAAAGTAACAAAAAAAAATAAAAGAAAATTGAAAAAAAAACTTTAAAAATTAAACAACAAATAAAATAAGTTTCTAAATATCAAACTAAATTATGAAAACGTAAATAAAATCAATAAGTAAGAGAAAATTCAATTAAATAAAGAAAAAAATCAAATTTGTTTTTGTTATTTTTGTTGAAAAAAAAAATCAAATTAAAAAAAATAACAACTACTGGAGCAGCGGGAGCAAAATGATATGCATTTGTATTTGGAACATGCGTAAATGTTAACTGTTAAAAGAGCCTTCCACCATGAAAGTTGGCAAGGAATCCTTTTTTTGGGGGTAAGACTTTCATGCCAGAATAAACAAAATCTTTCAAACTAGGCAAGACTGTAAGCAAGGCTTCCAACTGTCTTACAAAAGACTTGCAACTATCTTAGCCAGAATTGCGCTGTTAGTTCATTTCCTCATGGCATTTTTAAATCACGCACATTTTTTGTAATTTCAATGCTTTCAACATTAGATAATATCTTACGTATTATGTACATACACTCCCAGTCATTTGAATATCTCTATTTTTATATAAAAAAATGAATGAATTTCAAACAAACAAAAGGAAAACTACACATCCTGATGATCAATGACTAGGAGTGGGCGTATGTTGTATTGCCTCATCCACAAATAATTTACATTCATTACAGAACCCAAGAAGCCACTTTTTGTCGCTTTCTCCGTACTCACTAATGCGCCAAAGATATTCACTGTCCAACAAACCAATAATCCCAATGTTATACAATGTCTCAACGGCTTGCGTTGTTTCTCACTGATTTGGGTCGTTTATGGTCACGGTTATATGACATTCTATCAGTTGCCTCACATTAACATAGTTAAAGTCTATACCGTAAGTGTTTAAAATAAATTATGTACACGTAAGTGTGCTTGACTTGTTGACATTTTAAACTTCGCTTGCAGTGGGTTGAAACTCCCTACTCTATGTTGGTGCAAAATGCCACACTTTGTGTGGACACTTTCTTCTTCATGTCCGGCCTGTTGATCTTGTGGGGCGCTTTCCGTGAAATGGAGCGCACGTAAGTATTAAGCGTTACTAAATAGCTATCAAATTTAAAACTAATGCAATAATTTCTCAACACATCTAGCAAGGGCAAACTGAACTTAGGCATGATGTACTTCCATCGTTATATTCGCTTGACGCCCGTCGTAGCCGTTGTGATCCTATACATTTTGTCGTTATATAAATACTCAGGTCATGGACCTATGTGGATGAAAATCGGTACGCAGGATGAACGTTGTTCAGAGACTTGGTGGGCAACATTGTTGTATGTGCAGAACTACATTTTCCCCAAGAAGATTGTAAGTATTTGCAGCACTGTTCCTTTCCAAACATAAATGTTATGCAACTTTTTATTTCTCTCATTTTCACATGCAGTGCATCAGTCAATCTTGGTACTTGGCAGTCGATACGCAACTATATGTCTTATCGCCAATATTCCTTATTCCCCTATGGAAATGGGGCAAAAAGGCCCTCCCTCCAATTATTGGTGTCGCTGTGCTTTGTATGGGCTGCACTTTCGCCACCTTCATGAAATGGAAATTCTCGCTGTTCCGCGTCGACGATGACAATTTGGACGATCGTCAACGTTTGACTTACTATCCTACGCATACACGTGTACCCACCTGGTTGATTGGTGTGATTTTCGGCTACTTCTTGTACACCAAGAATCGTGGCAGACAAATACCGTTAGCCAAAATATGGGTAGTCACTGGCTGGGTGGTGGCCTTTGGTGTCATGTTGGCCTGTTTGTGGGGTCCTTACTGGCGTATCCTACCACAGAATCCCAGTGCTCCCATTGTGGAAGGTGCTCTTTACGAGCCTCTAAGTCGCTCCTCCTGGGCAATAGCTATCGGCTGGATTGTGTGGGCCTGCTACAATGGCCACGGTGGATTAATTAATGATTTCCTCTCTTGGGGCTTCTTCACCGGCTTTAGTCGCCTCACTTACTGCATGTATGTAATTCACAGAATTGTGCAGTTGGTGAATGATGGACGCATCCAAACCGATACACATTTTAGCGATTACGAAATGGTAAGATGAAGATCATGCGAAAAAATAATTATACTATTTAGCTTATCGTTTTGGTGTTTTTTCTTTTGTGTAGATACTTCGATGGTGGCACGATTTCGGTATTGCCCTAACTCTTTCCATTTTTGCTACGTTGGCATTCGAGTCACCGATTTTGGGCATTGAAAAGGCCATTTTCGGCCATGGTGATAGTAAACCAGCGCCGAAAAAGATAGAACGAACATCTTCTCCAGCTCCAGTCGCAGTTGAGACAACAGTTCCGAAAGTTAAGACTCCCGAACTGAGCAAAGCCTAAGTATTTATTCGGTCGCTCTGCTTGAGCGATTTGATCGATTTTTTAATTATTTTTATATTTTGTCGGGATTTTTGTCATGATTGTCTTCTGTTTTCACTCAAAAATAATGTATAAAAGAAACAGTTGTTGTTATTGTTGTAAGGGCTTACTTAGCCCGTAATTGTCCGCAGGCTCAACTAACGGTAGGCCCAGGAGATTTGATATTTCGATGAGGTATAACCAGAGGGATGTTAGTTGAGTTGGATTGAGTGAGCATGTGAAGAAGTGGTTGGTGTCAAGGGGGGAATCTCCACATGCTGGACACTAATTTTCGATATTGGGAGGCGAGTTGGGCCATCTCGTTGGGTATCTCGTGGCAGATGGCTCACTCTCGTTCACAGGTGGTGACTGGCACTGATGCGGCATTCACTTGACTGGAGTTTGTAAATACCGTTAATAGCCTGTCTGTACAGTCCCAGTCCCAGGGGTGCTGTGCGTAGTGCTGGACCTGGTCCTTCAGCTGAAGCAAGTTCGAGTGCTGACAACTGTAGCACCTTACTGGGAGAATTTCGGCTTCACTGTGGATGTGATGTTCTGGCGACATCAGAAGACATCCTCTGGTTGTCCAGGGTGTTGTATTGTGGTATGTCTTTAGTTTCGTCCACTGCGAACCAATTGTCCCCGGCGAGCACACAAGCGCTGGATAATTTAGAACCGGACGGCTGTGTATGTTTGCAACTCCGTTTCTTTGTCTTTGGCCAAGTACTGCCGAATTGAGGACTATGGCTCTGTACTTTGTTGGCAATTTCGGTTGTATGCGCCGGGAACGAGAGCTAGATCTGACAATTTTCCGGTTATTCACCGTTGGAATTAGTTTGCCATCGACGAGAATACGCAGCTTTCGTCCTTGTAGTAAAATGCCGAGAGGGTTAGGCTCCTTGCAGTGAAGAAGTGTGGAGTGGTAACCGTTTATATTTAAGCATAAGTCATCAATTCCATTTCCGGACGCATTGTCATTTTTTTTTGTCTGGATTGTGTCTTGTCGGGATTTTGAGTTGTCGGGATTTTGTCTTGTCTGAATAATGTGTTATCTGTATTTTATTTGGTCGGGATTTTGTTATGTCTGTATTATGTCCTGTCTGGATTTTCAAAAATTGTCTGGATTATGTCTAGTCGGGATCTTCAAAGTCGGGATTATGGAGTGCTCCCTTTTAAAGCTTTAATACTAAGTAAAAAAATACAAAATTGTGGGCGTAGTCCAGTTCGTAACTATACTCTCCATTTCATATTTACTGACAATATCATCGCGCCGCATTCCTGCCTGTCAGCAACTAAAGCTATTCACACTTACGCCTTTCTGCCTTTTTATCTTTATAAAAATACGTCTCTCTTTCGGCTCTTTTTACACGGTATTGGTGAATTGTGGCGCGCGGCGGAATCGGCTGCTGTGTGGGGGATATATTCTCACTATTCGAGCCTGGTAAATATGTATTTCACTAAGCAAATCAGCAGTTGGATAGGAGCACCATTCCTGTGGAGTGTCCGGCCATTCTAAGCGGATATCCGTAAAGCATAGTGCTTATTTCGGGGCTGTTTTGTGTTTTCCATTGGATCAGTTTTTTTTACATTTCGGGTCGAAAACTCAGGGTACAACACATTTATAGTAGAGTTTTTGAAGATGCTCATTTATATAGCGAGCCGCTTACTCCAAGAAACAGACGGCCGCTTGTAGCAGAATCTAAAACTGAACTTTAGGGAAACCATACACCGTATAAGCCGGAGTGGCCCCACCTAAGGCTCCGCTCTTTCTGCAGTGAACCAAGGGTTTACACGAGGCTTCACCACGCGCTGAATGTGTACATATTCAATAAAATAAAGCCTTATTGCCTAATGGTCAAGCAATTCCTTTCAGTTGACATCCTATGTCCTCTCACTTTAAGTCCAACGAACAGCCTACATCTTATAATTTTTCGAATAGACGGCAATCATCTTCGAAAAAAAATTCTTTATAATTGAATAAACTGTTCAAATCTGATGCCATTAAGAAAAAATGCCTTCACATATTACATATGGGTGTTTCCAGCGGAAGGTCCACCACGACAAAAAAAAATAAAAGTTTATATCTAACGTATTTATGGGCCGATTTGTCTGCTTTTTTAAAATATATACTGGCTATGTAAGAAGAATAATGTTTGCATAAATTGGTCTTCCTAGGTGGTGCCAAGGTCGAGATATTTCGAAAACCCGTATTTATGGTCCGATTTGGTTCGAATTTGGCGCATGTGGTTGAAACATAATAAATCATAGATTTCTAATTAATAAATTGACCCTGAATTGGCGCTGAAGTCAAAATATAAAGTATATTCTACATAAAATACATGTTTTATTTGCGTTAAAAATTCATTTAAAAGCAATATTAACAAAAATATAAC